AATAACCAAGCCTAGAGATATTAGCTCTTAAGCGGATGGGTGATTGTTGGTGATGCAAAGGAGAAGAGAGAAATGAACAAGAATATAACTGAATTTAAATATCTATTAATTTAAAATTTTTAATTTAAAATTACGGTTAAGAATTTAAATCTTTTTTTACAGTTATTTTAATGTTAAAAAAAATGAAGAAAAAAAAAAGAAAGAAAAGGAAGAGACAAGCAAGAGAGAAAAACGGTAAATCTCTATGTCAACACAGATATAAAATGAATTACTCGATAGAAATATTTAATAAATTTAAAATTTTATTTAAAAAAATTAAAACTTTTTTTTACTCAAATTAATAAATGTTAGTCTAATACATTTTATTACGTTCGTAGAACAATGAAACAACAGTCTATTGGGTTCGGGTGGGACTTGGACGTGGTTTCGCGTTTAGGGCCGCCAAACGCCTACTCCTACATATCTTTTTAGTTCTTAAATAATATTCTTATTTATTTTCTTTTAAAAAAAAAAACGTTGTAATGCAATAAATCATTGATGGAGAAATAGACTTTTAATTTTAAGGGATATATATTTTTTATTAATGGTTAAGTAAAGTACAACATTAAAAAAATTATTTTTTTAGTTTTTCAGTAATAATGTTCTTCTTTTACTTTCTTACAAAAAAAAAAAAAAAAAAGAAAAGGAGAAAATGTTGTAATGCAGTAAATTATTGGCGGAGGGATGGACTTTTAATTTTAAGGGATATGCCCTTATTTATAAATAATTACTTTATAAATAGTTAAATAAAGTATAGTTTGTATAAAATATATTGTATTTCACATTTTTGTTAAATTAATTGTCTTGTTTTTTATTTTAAAAATATATTTAATACTACTACAATTTCTAGTAAATAAACTCAAACTCTTAATCAATAAGATATTCTTCAATGAAAAACATTTTTCACCTTTCAATGTTAATGAAAGATTTATATAATACTAAAAAGCATTCTAAGTATGGTTATTGTCATATATAAAAGTGCTATAGCCACATAAATTTTTTAATATTATATTAAAAAATATTAATTTG